CGCTCGATGCAAGCAACTTGGACCAAGCGGGCCAGCAAGACAAGCAGGCCAAATCCGACCACGCGGCCAGCTTGGTCCAGCCTGCTCAAGGCCATGCTAAAAAAGATCCAGTCAACCTCAGGAGTTAATTACTGGGAGGTTTTCGTCGGAAAGATTCACGAGGAGTAAGCCCCAATTGGAGCTGTTACGCCGGAGTGGGCCTCGGACCAAGCAGGATTAAGCCGGCTTAAACGGGAATGAGCGGGATTAAGCGAGATTCAGCGGGATTAAGCCGGATTTCGGACCAGGGCAAAATCAGAATTTGACCTCCCAGGAGTTGCATCCGAGCCAATCAGACCAAAACTGCATACAAGTGGAATGCAGAACAGTCTGCAAGCACGCATGTTGCTGCGGTCGCGGGTGGCGCCGTGCACTTCGCACCTCCCTGGACCTCCGTAGACCATGTTCGGCTCACGCGCGGAATCCCACCCATAGGCTCAAGCACTGGCAGCGACGCAGCGGCACTGATGCGTTTGCACTGCACCAGAGAGATTGCAATGCACAAGGAACTGCAATTCGACAGCCACTGTTTTGCTGCCGTCCTGTTGGTTGGCGCTGCGAGCTTCGCCCCTCCCTGGGCCTCAGGCCACATTGGGCTCGCACGCGGCGTGGTACTCATAAGATCTGGCTCCCGCAGCGAAGCAGCGGCACTCCGACGCAGACCAACATTGCATTGCAAATACACGGCACTTCGCAAAACATTGCAGTGCAACAAAAAAAACTCCGGCACACCAACAAGGCGAGCAAGTCAAACCAGCCGCGCCGGGAAAGGATTGAAGAGACAGTCGAGACATGATGCAACTGCGCGCTGTGCGCTGTGTTGCGCGGTAGAGCCAGCTAACCAATCATACCAACCAGACCAACCAAACCAGATCGTGATCTAGACCAGAATGCAATGCACATTAGTTTGCCTCGAGCAATCCACATCGAAACCTTCGGCGTTCATCCCCGAGTCTGGAACTGCTTCTTAGTGCGGCCAGCCTGAACTCGGCGCGCATGCCGCTACTGATGAGACGCCATGATTCGGTCGAAGCTGCATTCAACTCTAAAACGCGTTGTTCGGTTCTGTTTTGTTATATGCACATACGGTTTGTTCGGTTCTGTTCTCGACGGGGCAGCGTGTAGTGTAATCGGTCGTCGTTGCGCCTGTTTCTGTCCTGCGGCCAGCATTACGTCAGCGTGGATGCTGCGCTTAACAAGGCGCCATTAATCGGTCGTTGCTGTGTTTAACAGCGTTCAACCTTGGTAAACCCCATCATGTTCTCAGATAGTGCACTGTAATATGATATGATGTGTTCTCGACGGGCTGGTTTGACGTCGTGCCACTTGCCACATTCTATACTTCATCCAATCGGTCATTGCTGCGCATGTTTTGTCCTGTGGTCAGCAATTCGTCGGCGTGGATGCTGCCTGTGACAAGGTGCCAATAATCTGTTGTTCAGTCATTAAACCTAGGTTGAAATCCACCTCGCCTCAATGGGTTATGTTGTATTATGTTCATGTATGCTTTCGACGGGCCAGCGTGAGATCGCGAGTCCTGTCATGCTAGATACGTCGCCCAATCGGTCGGTGCTGCGCATGTTGCTCCTGCGGCCGAAGGCCAGCCTGACCTCGGCGTGCACTCGCGTTTGAGTATCTCCCTGATGTCCGTTTGACAAGACGCGCTGAATAAGCGGTTGATTGTTACAGTTCGCTCTGTTCTGTTAGGTCGGATTCTGCCCAAGCGTAGTCACTGACACTTTGTTCTGGTTTGTTCTGTTCTGGACGGACCGGCGTGGCGTCGTGACGCCTGTCACGTTTCGTCTAATCGGTCGTTGCTGCTACTGTTTGTCTCTGTGGCTAGCGTGGGCTCGGCGCGCATATCGCGTTAGTCTGTGACGTCATGTTCGGCTTTGTTGTGTTATGTTCGGCTGTGCTGTTTTATGCACATCTGGTTTGTCCTGTTCTGCTGTCGACTGGGCGGCGTGACGTCGTGGCGCCTGTCACGTTTGATCTGTCGTCTAATCGGTCGAAGCTGCCTCGGTGTTTGCCTTGGGGCCAGCATGGCGTCGTCGTGGCTGCTGCTCTGGGCAGGGCGAAATTAATCGGCCGTTGGTGCACTTAGCATGCAACTATGGTATATCCGATCATGTTGGAGAATGGTACACGGCATTATGCTGCTATTGTGTTCTCGACGGGCCGGCGTGACGTAGGAACGCTTGTCACGTTAGATACTTGTCCAAGCAGTCGTGTTTGCGCCTGTTTGTACTTGTGGCCAGCCTGACCCCTGCGCGACCGTCGCGTTTGAGTATGATAAGGTTCGGTCGATTACGTTACGATGTTGCTCGTCAGTGGTGAAACGGTGGTTATCCTTGTCATGTTTAATAATACTGTGCAATGACCAACTCTGGGATAAGATGATGAGTGGTGTTATGCTGTAATATGTGATGGTCATGTGTTATGGTATGTGGTTTACGCGATG